CGGTGTTGAACACTGAGGTCATTCTGTCTTGCCTTATTCAAACATATATGGTGACACTCTGATTACAAACTCGGGGTCTACCGTGGCATGATATCACACAACATGTGACACAGATACTGTAAATAGATGTGTGTGGACATCACAGGAGAGAATACGGACTGCCGCATTTTCATGGTTGGTTTCAGGACCTGTGATCCAGGTAGATTAACACAAGCCGCTTCTTTGATAAGGCGTTCGAATTCCTACGTGGAACAGGCAGGCATCGAAACACTATCTGTTCGCATGATCAGCTTGAGTTCGAACCGATAATATGCATATTCTGCTGTGTCGTCCTCCCCTGAAAGTGGTTCGCTTTTTCGACTGGGAATAATTTGGAAAGCGGTCCTTTTAGAAAAAGTGGATTTTATATTGAATCACCGTATCCGTCTCTAATTTCTCGGATTGCCGAGTGAATAAGCTCGTGAACTAGCAGTCTTATGAAGCGGATTCGAACCCTGCACTGACACCACCAATTCGGTCTCTTATCCTGTTACTGTGGAAATAAAGACGCACAAAGGAAGTTTTCCCAAGTATCAGGGAAGCGGAAGTGACATAAGATAGAAGGGGTTGTGAATTTTGTCGTTTGATTGGCTTCCTAAACTCTCTTCCAGTTTGTGTCTGTAGAAACACGGGTTGTGATAGCGGTTGATGAGTGAAGAAATTCAATCACACACCTGCACACGCCTACCTGTATGGCTTTTACGAGGAGAACTCATTGCGTGTTGGTTCGTGGTTCGCGGTAGACTACTGGACTCCTCTGTCGAGCAAATAGCCGAAGCTGTTACTCCAAGTCACTGAGTTCATTCACTTTACGGGATAGAGGCAAATTAGTTTGATAAAGTGGATCGTGTGTGTATGTGTTGAACCTTCGAACTCTGGTTGCAGACATTCCCACCTGGACAACTGGATGGCTTAAAGGTAAAGCTAAGAGGCGGCGGTAATGCAGCGCAGACAGCTCGGCCAGTAACCAGATCATGAACAACAACAATACATTTTTTTCATTTTATGCCATTGAAGACAGATTTTTCCCGCTTAGTTTTGCTCATTCGTTCATTCAAACAGCTGTAGCACCCTTTCGGTGCCTAGCTGCCATGCCACCCGAAGGTTGCACTTGGGATGGGATATTGCCAGGCTACCCAATCCTAGACAGGGAAAGCTGAGAGGCAGAGATCGGTTTCGAACCACGACCTTCTGGTCAGTAAATTCACGCTCCAACCACTTGAGCCATCTCGCTTCGTTGTGGGCACATCAACAAAATGAAAAGGATTGACTCTTCCGCAGTGAACGTTTATGCTACATCCTCCGCGAATTCCGTACATACTACTTACTGAAGATGAAGATTTCACTCCCGTAGGTGATATCAGCCTGTGCCAAAACCGAGAAGTACTTCACAGCTGTTTCATTCATCCCGGGAATTGTCATCAGCACGCAATTCACGGATTTCCGGGTAGATCCGAACCTACGAGCTTCTGGTTAATAGCTCCATTTGGTCACGAGTCATCGATCAGCAGTGCGATGAACTTGCATCTTGGTCGTGGCTCAAGTATGTCATTAACTTTACATGGCCATGCGTTTACCTGGTTCCTGGAACGACTACTTCTCGTGTGGATTGTTCATGTGGCTTGTGATAAGTTCTTCCGTTCAGAGAATTCCGTCCGAAAATTTTCTCCCTTATAGCCACATACACAGTTCATTCGAAAAACGTGAACAGCGACCATACAGACAGTTGTCGGGTTACAGTATTCGGCAAAGCAAACACACGCTCGGAAATGATCAATTTTAACCAGTTTCGTTCAGCTGTGGCACCCTTTCAGCGCCTAGCTGCTGTACCACCCAAAGGAAGCACGAGGGCTGGGATACTGCTAGGTCGCCGGAGCCTAGACAGGGGAAGTCGAGAGGCAGAGGTCGGGTTCGAACCACGGACATTCCGGTCAGTTAATTCGCCCTCCAACAAATAGGTCCAACTCGCCCCTACGCATGCTCTTACCTACAGTCATATACACTTTCACAGATACCTGAGGGACTGAGGTAAACAGACTTAAAAACAGAACACTGAGTGCAAAACACCAGGTATCACCTTTTTGAGACTGATAGTACCCTTCACAAATTTTATGAACGGGACTGGTACCTGAATCCACTTGTTAGGTGTTTACTCTGCCAGTCACTTCTCAACAGCAGACAACAAGATGTACGTGTGCTTCCAGGACTTGATTCCCCAAGATCAAGAACAATCTCCATTAACGAAGTACACTCATTTGCAAACTAGTTTGGTTTTGCGGGAGACTCACCTAGAACCCATCACAAACGAGAGATTCAACTGCATCCCAGGTGAGTCCCTCGCAAAACCAAATTGGTCTGCAAACAAGTGTATTTCGCTCATTTCGTTCAATTTGTCTTCGAGTAGACCTAAGCTTGACTGAAATTTGGGGGCCTGGCCTACCTAATGATCCCCAAGAAGGGTGAAGCTGATGGTGGGCTGTCGAAGGATTTTCAGCAACTTTATGCGCGGTACGATACCCAGTAACTTAACAGTCTGGGGCTGCTATTGGTTCTGTGATACACTGTGTACTCCATCACAGTTCAAGCTCAAGAAGACCCATTGATTAAGACTCGAACCGAATCCCCGTAGCTCTACCGCATCTACCCAGGAGTACCTCAGGCCCCATATATCCCTCGGGTGGCATGGCATCTAATCACCGAGAGGGTGTTATGTTCTAGCGATTACTTATAGTAATATTTATCCATTTCAGTTCTGTAAAGAATCCATTGAGCCAAGTATAAGATGAACCTATTCTGTGGTTGAACACTGGGTAGAAAAACCTACGACGGTTGTAATCGGAGGCTTGATTGATCATGGTTGATACATGGTTCAGACAGAAAGATGACACTTGGCGGTCGATTCTTCGTCAAATTGTCGACAAACATCGTATTAGAGATAGAGTTTTTCATTCTGGATGGAACGCAGTTAAAACTACTCCAGTTCGCTCAACATCTTATCCGGAATTTAATTCACAATTCTCAACCTTTGAACGTTTGTCACTATAACTTTTCAGTTGAACTCTGTCAAATTGAATTTGCCACACATTTCGTTGATATGAAAAACTCAGGCGAGCTTTTTATAGTCTCATCATTAACATGAAATCCAAGCTTTCTTCGCAACGGGCGATAGAAAATCTTTCGCAAAATAATTTAGTTTTGAAGACAGTTTATGATACTCTTCAACTGAATATGCTACACAAAAGTCGCCTCATGTTTCATTTTGTATGATATTCGATATTCATAGAAGAAACCACAAACAAGGTTGCTGAAAATCCATCGACAGCCCACGACTGTTTTCGCCCTCGTTTGGGCTCATCAGTTAGGCGCAGTCCCCGAATTCCCATCAACCTTATGTTCTACTTGAAGCCAAATTGCACTGTTTCCGAGAAATACACTCATTTGCAAATCAATTTGGTTTTCGCGGGAGACTCAAATGGATCTCTCGTTTAAGATGTTCTAAAACTGAATGTGCTGCACACAGGCCGCCTCATGTTTCAGTTGGTACGATATTCTAGATATCGCAGTACATTTTCATGAAGGATACTACTCACAAGCAGAACATAAGGTTGATGGAAACTCGGGGACTGCGCCTACCTGAGGAGCCCCAAGAAGGACGAAACCGGTCGTGGCCTGTCGAAGAGTTTTCAGCAACCTTGTGAGTAGTTTCCTTTATGAAAATATACTGCGATATATCGAATATTGTACCAACTGAAAAATGAGGTGGCCCGTGTGCAGCACATTCAGTTGTAGAACATCGCACATCGAAGTATACTTTCTTGGAGAAACATGCTACTCATAAGCCCGATGAAAAGCAGTCGACAGCCCACGTTCGGTTTTGCCCTTCTTGGAGCTAACCATACAGACGTGGTCCCCGAGTGCTTTGTTCCCCAGAGAAAATTCACTGCCATATCTGGAAATGGGGTGACTTGTGTGCAGCGAATCCAGCTGAACAATATCACAAAAAAAGATTCAACTGGGATGCAGGCTGCGTTTCTACGTATAACCAAACTTTTTTTCAAATGAGTCCAACTCACGAATTCCCCACAATTTGTATTAAAGCGGCATACAGGGTTGACGGGAAATCAGAGGCAACGTCCACTTGATGAGCCCCAACAAAAACGAAAATGGATTGTCAAAGAATTTTCGGCAGCTTTGTAAGCAATAGGTTCTTTGCAATCTTCTTCATGTGTCTAATGCAGTCGATTGTGCGAAACAGGAGATGTTGAAAAGGAAACTCTTTTAAGCTCATGCGTATATGACAGGCATGTGTCATCGGAAACATCTAGTGATATCTTCAAAGACAATCTCGTTGCTCAGAATTTGTGGCTTTGGATCGGAACGATTCAGCTAGAATCTTTTTCCTGACACATGACAACCCATGCTTACCCATAAATTATACATGTAATAAAGTGATTTATGGGCAAATTTGACGGGCCTATGTTGAGAGAAGCTTCAGATATTTTCTAGCTGATCCAACGTATGGCTTGTACGTATTTCTGAAAATCCACAAGAATCGAGCATGCCAAATGTCATGTTCCACTCTTGAGATCAGAAGGTAGAAATTTGTTTTCTTTTTACACCCCTTCTCACAGATCAGAAGGGTGCAAATATAAGAATACGCTATGAAATAAAATTAATATATAATGGTTAGTCCAACATTTGTCGCATCATTTGAAGGAACAATCTCAGTTTGCAGGAATATTGACAGAAGCACATTAGTGCTGTGAAAAGATGGTAGCCAATGAGTCGATCCAGTGAAAAGGATACCGAAAACCGGGGATAATTGCCACGAACGGAGGGCGATGATTAAGGAACGGAATCTCCAGAAAGGGTCTTCTGTCGGACTCGCTGATTGGGGATAACATCAATGAAAACATGCTACTGAGCATTAGGTAGTAGCGAAAATATCACTAAGAACTTTAGTGCAGTATTTCATTCAATTCCATGCATTCGACTTGTCAGCGAATTTAGTAAATTCAGAGGTCGATAGGAAAATTTCGGGGGAAGATCACTGGCCCTGAATCAGCGTATGTTCGTCATAGCAAATGGACTAGATTCTGTCTCAAAGGCTACTAAGCTTTACTGGAAGCGACGAGGCACTGAGGACATCGAAATAAAAGAAATAAACCACAGTGCGCACGAGCGTGGTTCGCAGCATGTTGCAATTGCAAGCATGAACACTGATTTCTCAATCTATCCTAGTTAAGATTGTTTTTCAAATGACACTTTATTCTAGCGTGTTGTCATGAATTAATTCGTATCTTCAAGTTTTTGTGGAGTGGATGAGAATACCACGGATATATTGCACATAGCAGGCTCAGATCAACTAAACTTTCTAGCCTTCTTTGGCCGTTTTAACCTGTTCCTTATGAGCTATATTCCTTCGTCCTCACCCAGCATTTCCAGTCGCAGTTCGGTCAGTGTTTGACCCAACTCTCCAACGTTTTTGTACCCATGCCTTCCAGCAGTATACATCACAGAAACACCCATGTTTTTCTTACCGAATGCTCTACGTTCGCTTCCTCTTTCACCTGTTCCAGGTAATCGATTGTCAACTTTCTCCTAGTTCTGTTCTCCAACACCCTTCAAAGGGCGGTATGTTAAATTTCCTCGAAGTGTGAAACTATCTCCACGTACACCTGAGGCCGATCGGTAGTTTGGCTTCCTACTAAAATATACGTCAAAGAAAATCTCCTAAACTTGGACCATTTGTTTTGCTGCACCAGTGTGGTTATTGTAGCTGGTTAGGGAAATCGCCACCTATTACTAACATTGAAAAAAATTGCATTCAATGGGGTCGTTATTGGCGTCTTCAAGGACATCAAAAGCTCCATCGTACCTCTTGATGATGGAACAGCTATGTCGCACAAAAATGTGTCACTTTCCAGCTGAATGTAAAACCGGCTGAATTTAATCATCATCATCATCATCATCATCATCATCATCATCATCATCATCATCATCATCAGCATCATCA